CGGGATGCCTCCTGGAGGAGTCTTAGGGCGCCCTGAAGGCCTCTTGGGCCATCTGGGGGCCACCTTAAGTGTTTTGGATCGATCGCTCGGCGACTCGGGACCCTCTTGAACCATTTTGGGTGCCTCTTGGGGCCCTCCTGGCCCGCCTTGGGGACCTGGCCCCGAACAAGTCAAGCGAGAAGCCGCGACACGGCGCGAGAAGTCTCGCCAAATCTGACAATGTGGCCCCCTGGCCCTTTGAAGACTCTCAGGAGTGAGGATTGGGGCTTAGAGGATTGGACAAAGAATCTGAGGACGCGCCCACTCCGTGCCCAGCGGCACAGCGGCGGATAATGCAAAACATGGATTGCTCCTCATAGATTGCACACCATTGATTGATTGCCGGAAGCACATTCTATGGGGTTTGCGCTGGCTGACATCAGCGTTTAAAGACACCTTCGAGGAGGGGAAGGCAGCTGCACAGCCCCCCCTGTGTGCAGGGACAGATTTCGGGAGGCCAAATGTGTTTTCGCCGAGGCGGGCGTCCAGGAGAAGGAGCAGCAAGAGGAGGCATAGGGCGTCCCCAGGGTCCCCAGAAGCATTCATAGCGACCCACACGAAGACCCGAAGCGCAATCAAATACTTGATTTGTCCAGTGGTCGTCTGTCCATACCGCCACCGTGCCTAGGTTGTAGGTCAAAAGCCTCTTGGATGTCAGGGGTCTCTTGAGATGCCTCTCGGTGGCATCTCGGGGGTCTATTGGGGGCCTCTTGGATGCCTCTTGTTTTTCCCAACCGTCCTGTGGTGTTGGGTCCTCGTTTTGAAGAGACGGTGCCCCGCGTTCTCCTTCCTCCCGCTGCCTCCTCCCCCTCCTCCCTCCTCCCTCCTCCCCCTCTTCCCTGCGTTTCACCCACCCAGTACAGCGTTTCGTAGCCCCATAGGGAGCTCCGCCGAAGGCCCCAGTGCTGCCGCCCGCATGCATCACGCACACCCAATTCGGCACACCCCTCACACGTTTCGTGGCCCCATAGGGAGCTCCGCCGAAGGCCCCAGTGCTGCCGCCCGCATGCGTCACGCACACCCAATTCGGCACACCCCTCACACGTTTCGTGGCCCCATAGGGAGCTCCGCCGAAGGCCCCAGTGCTGCCGCCCGCATGCGTCACGCACGCCCATTCGGCACACCCCTCACACGTTTCGTGGCCCCATAGGGAGCCCCGCCGAAGGCCCCAGTGCTGCCGCCCGCATGCGCCACGCACACCCAATTCGGCACACCCCTCACACGCTTCGTGGCCCCATAGGGAGCTCCGCCGAAGGCCCCAGTGCTGCCGCCCGCACGCACACCCAATTCGGCACACCCCTCACACGTTTCGTGGCCCCAGCTCCGCCGAAGGCCCCAGTGCTGCCGCCCGCATGCGTCACGCACACCCAATTCGGCACACCCCTCACACGTTTCGTGGCCCCATAGGGAGCTCCGCCGAAGGCCCCAGTGCTGCCGCCCGCATGCGGCACACCCAATTCGGCACACCCCTCACACGTTTCGTGGCCCCATAGGGAGCCCCCGAAGGCCCCTGCCGCCCGCATGCGTCACGCACACCCAATTCGGCACACCCCTCACACGTTTCGTGGCCCCATAGGGAGCTCCGCCGAAGGCCCCAGTGCTGCCGCCCGCATGCGTCACGCACACCCAATTCGGCACACCCCTCACACGTTTCGTGGCCCCATAGGGAGCTCCGCCGAAGGCCCCAGTGCTGCCGCCCGCATGCGTCACGCACGCCCATTTCGGCACACCCCTCGCACGTTTCGTGGCCCCATAGGGAGCTCCACCGAAGGTCCCGGTTGGTGTGCCCGCATGCGTCCCGCACATTCATGTCGGCACACCCTCACACGTTTCGTGGCCCCACAGGGGGCTCCACCGAAGGCCCCAGTGCTGCCGCCCGCATGCGCCACGCCCACCCATTTCGGCGCACCCCTCACGCGTTTCGTGGCCCCGTAGGGAGCTCCGCCGAAGGTCCCAGTTGGTGTGCCCGCATGCGTCACGCACACCCATTTCGGCATACCCTTCACACGTTTCGTGGCCCCATAGGGAGCTCCACCGAAGGCCCCAGTGGGTGTGCCCGCATGCGTCCCGCACACCCATTTCGGCACACCCCTCACGCGTTTCGTGACCCCTCACACGTTTCGTGGTCCCATAGGGAGCTCCACCGAAGGCCGCAGTGGGTGTGCCCGCATGCGTCCCGCACACCCATTTCGGCACACCTCTCGCACGTTTCGTGGCCCCGTAGGGGGCTCCACCGAAGGTCCCAGTGCTGCCGCCCGCATGCGTCCCGCACACCCATTTCGGCATACCCTTCACACGTTTCGTGGCCCCATAGGGAGCTCCGCCGAAGGCCCCAGTGCTGCCGCCCGCATGCGTCCCGCACACCCATGTCGGCACACCCCTCTCGCGTTTCGTGACCCTTCACGCGTTTCGTGGCCCCATAGGGAGCTCCGCCGAAGGCCCCAGTGGGTGTGCCCGCACGCGTCCCGCACACCCATTTCGGCCCACCCCTCGCACGTTTCGTGGCCCCGTAGAGGGCTCCACCGAAAGTCCCAGCGGGTGTGCCCGCATGCGTCCCGCACACCCATTTCGGCACACCTTTCGCACGTTTCGTGGCCCCATAGGGAGCTCCACCGAAGGCCCCAGTGAGTGTGCCCACATGCGTCCCGCACACCCATTTCGGCACACCCTTACACGTTTCGTGGCCCCATAGGGAGCGCCACCGAAGAAGATATTCACAATTGCGGTACTCACAATTGCATATGGTCGGGTCCTTCGCCAGGATAATTTTTGTTGGAGGGCCCTCTTGGGGGTGTCTGGGGGGCCTGATCGGGCCTCTTCAGGGTCTTCTAAGGGCATCTGGGAGGCCTCTGTCAGGCCTCTAGGGTGTCTCCTGGGGCCTGTCAGGAGCATTTCAGAGGCGTCTGGGGGCTCTTTGGGGCATGCTGGGGGTATTGGTTGCATCTTATGGGGAAAGGATCCCGAGGCCCTTCGTGGTACAACCCTCCAGGGCCGAAACAATAAAACACATACAGGATGTTCACTGATCCTTCGCTGCGCCAGAATGCACGCGACACGCCCCAAGAGATACGAGATCCGGCAATTGGGTGGTCTTGGCCCCTCATGATGAGCTGACGGGACCTCAGGTCCCGTATTCAGTGCCTCGCGGTACGGCGATTGAGGAGGATATTGCGGGAGGCCATTCGTAGCCTCGTCGATGCGCAACGGCCTCGATCTTCGACGGGGAGGAGGAATAGGCACAGAGCAGCAGCAATGGAGAGGATGATAAGAGGAGGAGGTGGGGGAGGAAGAAGATGAGGCCTCCCCACTCCTCTTACCTCCTCCCGTTCCACCTACTCCTAGTGCTCCTTCTCCTCCAGGTATTCCTCCCTCCTCGTCTCTCCTCCTCCTCCTCCTCCTCCTGCTCCCTCCTCCTCCTCCTCCTCCTCCTCCTCATCCATGTCATTCCATTCCTTTTCCGTATGGATAAGTCCTCCTTGTCGCACCCCGAGGCCAGTCGAAAGGGCGGGCGGGCGTTTCGCTTGAGACGTCCTCACCACGTGTGACCCTGCCGCTTAGAAACCGACAACTGTTTCACAACTGGAGGGCGGAACGTTTTCAACATGTGGATCTCGCCTTCGCGCCGCGCGCCTTCGTTGGTAAAGTTCGCAAGAGTTTCACGGATTGAGGGCGGGTCGTTTTCAACATCTGGTTCTCGTCTTAGCGTCCGCGCGCATTGCTTTCGAACATTTGCAAGAGTTTCACGGATTGCGGGCGGTTCGTTTTCAAATTGTGATTCTCGCTTTAGCGCCGCGTACATCCGTTGAACAAGTGCAAGGGTTTCACGGATTGAGGGCGGTTTTGTTTCAAGGTTTTGTTATCGTTGAAGCGCCGCGCACAGTTCTTTTTAAATTGATGTAAGGGATTCACGGGTTGAGGGCGGGCCGTTTTCAAAGTGTGGTTCTCGCTTCAGTGCCGCGCGCATTCTTGCTGAACAGTCGTAAGAGTTTCACTCACCGAGGGCGGTTCTTTTTCCAAGTTTGGTTCTCGCCTCAGCGCCGCGCGCACTCGTTCTCAAATGTGGTCAAGGGCTTCACGGATTTAAGGCGGGTCGGTTTCAACATGTGGTTCTCGTTTTAGCGCCGCACGCATTCGTTTTGACACGTCGCAAGAATTTCACATATTGAGGAAGGTTCCTTTTCAACGTTTGGTTATCGCTTCAGTGCCGTGCACATTAGTTTTCAACATTTGTAGGAGTTCCGTCGGTTCTCATGGTTATCGTGCCAGAAATCGTGATTTGGAATGGTTCAGGACTGTCATGGCGCAACAGTCACGTTGATTCGCGGTGTTGCAGTCCCAGGACGCGTTCTGGCACGATTCAGGCTCGCCAAGACGTGACAGTCAGGTTAATTCGTGGCGTGACAGTCCTGAGAAGAGTGTTTCGGCACGCTTCAAGATGTTCACACGTTTATCCCCCAACGGGGCAATTCCCAAAGTGGATCTGACCCCTTTGTGGGGGCTTATTCAGGGATGGTGTATTTCAGCATCGTTGATGCGTCTCGGGTTTACACTTGTCCTCCTCTTCCTTCTCCTCCTCCCTCGTGCTCCATCTCCTCGTCCTTCGCCATATGCTCCTCCTCCTCCTCCTCCTCCTCCTCCCTCCTCCCTCCTCCCTCCTCCCTCCTCCCTCCTCCCTCGCCTCCTCGTCCTCTGCCATCTGCTCCCTCTCCTCCCCCCGTCCCTTCCTCCCTCCCCGATCGCTTCGCCAACGGTCCTAGCCTATCCTATCCTATCCTATCCTATCTCACTTCGCTTCGCGATCGGTCCTATCCTACTATCGTATTCTGTCCTATCCTATCCTGTGAGACTTCGCTCCGCGATCGGTCCTCTCCTATCCTATCCTCTCCCTCCCTCCCCCGGGGAGGAGGACGCCGCAGAGCCCCCCCGCCCCTCCCCGCCGGGGGCCGCTGCACCCCGGGCAGGCCGCTTGCGGCCTCGCGGAGGCGGACTTCCAGGCCTCGCTGAAGGCGCCGCGGGGCCCGGCGCGGCCTCTGGGCGCTCGCGCGGAGGGGCCTCTGGCGAGCGGCCTTCGGGTGGTTCGGGCCGGGAGTCCAGGCCTCCAAGATGGGTCGAGGGCGCCAAAGAGGGGGCTGACGAATAGGAGGGGTGGATATCATGGCGGGGCCAGGGTTTCTCCTCTGATTTCATGGCGCCTCTTCTCATTTCAATACGTCCCCCCCCCCCCGCTGGGCCGCGCACATGCCGCCGGCCATGATTTGCGCGCCCCCCGTCTTGGCCGCCCCCAGCTTGGCCAGCCCCGAGGCCTTCGGAGGGCTCGGGCCGTGAATCCAGGCCTCCCAGATGGAGTCCGAGCAGGTGGGGTCGGAGGATCGCGCCGCGTCGCCGATGCATCGACGATGCGGCTCGGTGCGGAGCCCGATTTGCTTCACGCCGTCTTCGCCGATGCATCGCCAGCGTCGCTGGCGCAGCGCCAGTGCATCGTTGATGCAATGGCGATGCGGTGCGATCCTCCGACCTCATCTGCTCTGACCCTCTCTAGGAGGCCTCTAGTTAAAGGCTTCACGACTTCTGCCGTCCCCTGACTCGTGCTGGAGCGATCTCGACGTGCTCCAGATTTCTCTGGAGGTCCCTGGGTTTGCCCGGATGTGCCACGGTCTGCCTGGATTTGTCTAGATTTATGTGCAGTTACCTTGATTTGTCCAGGTTGATCCCCGCAAGTCGATTGACGAGAAGTCGTCAAGCCCTTGGGGATCGGGAGGGGACTTGTTCCCGGGGGAGGGGGGGGAGAAGTTTCGGGCTCGAGGTTTCGGGGCGGCTTCGTGTGCTCTCGGCTGTGTTCCAGCCTCGGCATGCGTCCCAGCAGCCGCGCCCCGCCATGCGCGTTCCAGGCGTGCATGGATTAGCGACGGGTCCTGTTTCCATGGGAAATCGCGGATTTCCGCCGCTAATCCATGTTGCGCGCCCCCCAGATATTGCCGACTCTCTCGGACCAGCCGCGGGAACCCGAGGGGCCCGAGGCGTTCGCGGTCGACGTCGGGGGCCTGCGACCGCCGCGGGCGGGCCTCGAGAGTCGCTCACGAGGCGCCACGCAGCCTGGACCTGTCCCAGAAATGCCCCTGGGGCCCCTTTTCCCGCTCTTCTCCTGTCCTCCGCTGCTCTTCTGTGCGCCCGCAGCTTTTGGCTTTGATCGCGTGAGTTCCCCGTACCGAGCCCAGAGTACTGATACATCCGTCCCAGCCCCCATCCTTCGATCCCCGTGTCCGCACCGCCTCCCGACCCTGATCACAGTGGTCAGCGGAGCTGGTTCGAGGACCGGGTGACGAGCGAGAATTGCGACGGAGGCGACAGGCAACTGGACGAGAGACCAGGACTCCGAGATCCAGGTCCCGACGACGACCGAGGGGCATGTCGGCCGAGGCCGAGACCCGGACTGACGACGGCGGCGACAGACGACCGCAATAACGAGAGTCTGGAGAGGCGAGTGCCGGCGGCTGGCGTGACGGTGGCGGCTGGGGCTCGGATGTTTGGGACGCTGGTTGGAGCTGGCGCTCGCATTATGTACAGTTTCCAAGGAGAGGTGCTTCTCTCCAAAGATCAGGGAGTGAACGAGACGCTCCTGAAGGCGGTGAAGGAGAAGGACAGCGAGCTGCACAGTCTAAGCCCGACGGAGAAGCCTACGGAGATGTTCAAGTTGCAAGGAACGCTCGTGCCAGTGGAGACCCTGTTCGCGGAGGCGCTCAGGAGCATGGGCGGTCAGCTACTTGGAGGTCGGACCCCACGAGGCAACATGGCGAGGCAGCTTGGAGGTGGAGCTCGGGGACGTAAACAATGAGTTGTTCACACCTGATAGTCTTGCGCGGCAGGGGCCTGATCCTACATTCCGCGTTCAGTATGGCGTCTACTTCGATGGCGCCGCAAAGTATTCAATTGAGTATGAGCTCGCATATGACACTGACACCTACCTCCTCCCACAGAAGTCAGAGATTGGAAACCTCATCATCGATGACGCCGTTGAGGAGCATTGCTAGGTGCGGATCACAGATGTGGCTTACTCGTTCGTGTTGCGCCGGGCCCTGGCGACGTGAGTGGCCTTTCGGCATCGTGCCGCACCCCCGCGCTGGCCCCAGCCTGCGGGCATCAGCCCTCGCAGGCTTGCAAATCACCAGAGAGGGGCGGGAATGCACCGACGTTTTCCCCCAACCCAGGGTCATTTTCCCTGAAACTGCTTGCGGGATTAGGTCTGAATGGGCAGAGAGAGAGAGAGAGAGAGAGAGAGAGAGAACTCCTCCTTCTCCTCCCATTCCTCTCCTCCTCTTTGTCTCCTCCTCCTCCTCGCCGCGATCCGCCTCGGTGCCCGCCTCCGCCTCTCCCCGGGGGCCCGGCATCTCGGCCCGTCGGGGCGCGTTGCGTCTTCCTCGGCCTCGTGGCAACGTAAACGCCGCCCGACGGCGGGCGCTGCCTTCGGTGGCGTCGGGCTCGGGCTCTTTCGGGTGCCGCCGGGGGGCTTCCCGCACCGTGCGGCGACCGGGAGCGCGCCGTGCAGAGTCAGGCACGCCGTTGTTTTCAGGGCGCTTGCGCCTCTCCGCCGGCCGCGCAGGGCAAGGCACTTTGTGAAAACGGTTTTTTAAATTAGGAGGATTCAAAAATAGCCAAAAACATATTATTGGGACGATTTGTTGGCGTATTGTCGACCATTTGTGAGCATGCTTGGACTAGTTGTTTTTCGTTTTTCGTTCCAAATCCGCCTGTAGGAGGACACGCCCGACCTAAACCTTCCACTCGTGAGCGTTCTAGCCGCCCCCCGTCCATTCGACGGAGAAGGGCGCGCACGCACAGCGAAGCATCGCGCCAGCGCCGGCCCTTGTATCCTTACCGCGCATCCTCATCATACGAGTTGATTTCAGACTCAACGCTGTTGTACAGTGCGCAGTGTGCTGCTAGCACGGCCCTCTCTGGGGCCTCTGAGGCAAATGGCTGCGGAGGTGGGGCAGCGATGCTGCAAACCCGTTTTGTGCCGCCTATGCTAAACCGTGTGCGCAATATCTTGCCATAAACGGAAGTCCGACCGATATTCACATGATGCTCGAATGTATCACCGATCCTCGATCTTCTGTCCTCCATCCCCCTCCTCGAAGGAGGTGGTGGGCAGCTCCCACGGCCTTCGGATAAGCGCAAAGGATGAGCGCAAGGACGGATAGACCCCTGTATCCCTCGGTCCTGGAGTTCCTTGGCACCTTTAAGCATTCCCCTGAGATCAGACGCAGCGGAACACATACAACATCGTGACCAATCATGATCGGGGCCCCGAATCCCAATCATTCCACGCAGTGTTTTGAGTTGAGCCGACCTGTAAGTCTGTGAGGGGCCCTTGGCCCAAAAACCGGGCGCAGAAGCCCAGCTCGGAAAAAATACGACGCCAGGATGTCAGGGTCCTCCTCCTGCACTCAGTGGACATGAACCCTTGTGGGGGCCTATTAACAGGAGCTTGGAGGCAGGGTTTACTCCAACATCGTCGATAAGTCTTAGGTTTGCGTTCTCCTCCGCCTCCTCCTCCTCCTCCTCCTCCTCCTCCTCATCCTCGTCCTCCTCCTCCTCCTCCTCCTCCTCTTGGGGCGGACCTCCCGCGCCCCACCTGGAGGAGCTGCTGTGCCAGGCGGCCTCCTCCGGCGGCGGCGCCGCCACGAGGGGCTCCATGGTGGCAGAGCGGCTGGTCGACGACGAGGCTCCCCCCCTGTGGTCCAGAGTCGAGGAGAGAAAAATGACACAAACATAAAACCTCGGAGGTCCGCGCGGACCTCTGAGTTTTTTATGTTCATGTCATTCTTCGTTCCCCTACAGAGAGGCGGCCGACCCTCTTCGGACGGGGCTGGGAGGAGGGTTAATCTGTTTCAGAGCGTTCCGGAACGCTCTGAGAAGGCTGCGGCGCCCGAGACATCCTCCGCCGCCGCCGGATCTCAGAGATCCCCGATCTATTCTCACCCGACTTGATCCTCGTCCTGGCTGCGTCGTATCAGAGGACCCTCAGACCCCCTCGCGTGGTGAAGGAGAGCACGACGGGCGTGCTTTGGCCACTTTCGGCCTCGGGGGTCCCTCGCCGAGCCCCGGGACCGCCAAGAAACTAGTCGGGGTGAAAAACCAGTCCTGGGCGAAGGGTCTAGAACTCTTGGGGTCGACGCTGTGGAAGAAGTCCTGATGTCGGGGATGTTTGAAATGTACCGATGCCGCTATCGTGGTTTCGTTCTCGCCCCCTTGGCCTCCTGGGAGGGTTCCCTCCGCTCCCACTCCAAGTTCTCGGGTCCCTGTTGGCTCATGACTTCGGGGTTACGCCGCTCGTGCGGCTGATATACTTCACTGTCCAAGGTTCTATAGACGTTCTTGCACCACGCGTTGCGTGACCCTGGAGCGGCCCTCGTCGCCACGGCTGGATTCTCGTCGAAATTCGCGGTAGAACGCAATTCGTTCTCCTCCTCCCCCTCCTCCTCGTCCTCTTCCTCCCCCTCCTCTTCCTCCTCCTCCTTTCGTGCCGTTCTTGTTCCCCCCCTTCCCGAACGAGTCGTTCGGAGCCCCGCGCGATCTTCTCGGATCGGCGCTGGGCCGCGGCCGGGGGCCGGAGCTGGAAAGGGCCGAGGCCGAAGCGGGCCGAAATCGAATTGCCGATGGAGCCGGAAGGGGCTGATGGCTCAGGTCGCGATGGCTCGAAAGCGCTAAGCAAACGAGGCTACCCACGGGCTAAAGGAGAGTTCCGTGCGAGCCAGTCTTTTGGTCACAAAGTGTGCGCACTTTAGCATTCGGAGGAAACCATCGTCATCGTCATCATCATCGTCATCATCATCATCATCAGCATCATCATCATCATCAGCATCATCAGCATCATCATCATCACAATCTTTATCATTATCATTACCATTATAATCGTCATCGTCGTCGTCATCGTCGTCGTCGTGGTCTTCCTCGTCGTCATCATCATCGTCATCGTCGTCGACTTGCCGATGGAGCCAGAACGGGCTGGAGCCGAAACGGGCCGACGCCGCACGCGGCCTTTTCTCATCCGGGTCTGCGGGGCCGATGCCTACAGGGAGGTGTACGTCCAGGTGCCAGGCCGAGCAGAGGGTGCCCCCCCGCCCCTGGCCACGGGCGGCCTCGGCCACGGGCCGTCACGAGCGACAGGGAGGACGCGTTCGCCACGACGGGGGCGCGCCGAGGGGAGGGGGGGGCATGCTGGCGGGTTTCTCCGAAGGGCTCAGGCGACCCGTCCTCCTCCTCCTCCTCCTCCTCCTTCTCCTCGTCCTCCTCCTCCCTTCTCCCTCCTCCTGCCTCCTCCTCCCCCTCCTCCTCCTGCTCCTCGTTTGAGGTTCGAAGTTTGTAAGTCTTCTCGTCGGTGAGCAGCAGCTTTATAGCCTCGCGGTGCTCTCCTGCGGCTGCGCCTTGCCGGGGGCGTTCCACGGGAACCCAGGTCGTCCCAAACGGCCGCCTGAGACCCGAGGCATGGTTCGAAAGCCGAAGCCCGAGTCAGGGGCGACGTTAGATGAGGATAGGCTCAGGGGGGGGGGAACGCATCGCAATCGCCCATTGATCGCAGATAGGGGTAATTCGGGCACGTCTCTTTACAGGAGGACTATTTAGCAATAGTGAAGCAATAGTCTGGTGTCGATTTTGTTTATTCTTGACAAATTGGGAATATGTTCATCTACTGTTGATTATTCGTTCAAAAATCCCCCTGTTGAAGGACACGCCCGACCTAAAGATAGGGCCCGATAGCTCGCTCAGCCCAGGAACATGCGGATTTGCTACTGGGACGGTGGGCATATCGCCGACCGATCGGCGATGTATCACCGGTTCGAGGTCGATTCTTCCCCCCTCCCTTCAAGTGATCCCTCCCTAACTTTCGCCTTCAGTTCGCCACGGAAGCACTAGCCACAACAAGGTAACGACATGCCAGCACCCCAGGCGGGCGGGATTCCGATTTGGTGTGTGTGTGTGTTCTGAGCCCGAGTGTGACAGGTTGCGGCCCGTTCGTTGTTGTTCAGCAGTGCTGTTCGTATTCGCATGGTGCAACGGTCCACTCATCAGGTTGCTTGCAGAGGTTGCATTGTGTGTGCGTGTTGCAGCCTGGCCACTTAAACGCATCATGCCGTCATTGAACGCACATGCGTGTCGCCAAAGCTCTGAAGTTATACATTACATTGGAACGAGGCAACTTACATTTTCATCTCCACGCTGTCGTTACAGCTTTCAGCTCATTCTGCCGCAAGAGGCCAAGACGTTCCGCAGCATTCGAGACGCGTACATGGTGCCGCGTAAGTCTCTCGCTTCCTAGTGTGATCCGCGTATTCTCTGCATCGTGTCGCACTTCAGTGACAAGAGCAGATGTTCGGTTCGTGGCGCATCATCAGAGTCCCAGCTGATATTACAAGCATAGATGCCGCAAACACAGACAGACAAGCACCCACACACAGAGACATGTGTTTGAATGGCCTCCAGCCAGTGCCGCCGATCCGAGGCGCTCCAGATGCTGGTGGTTGAAACGACGACGACGGCGACGACGACGACGACGATAACGACCTCGACGCCGACAACGGACGACTTACGACTAACGGGAGAAAGGAGGCGGGAGGCGGGAGGAGGGGGATGGAGAAGGGAGGAGTGAGGAGGGAGAAGGGAGGATGTGGAGGATTAGGAGGAGGCGGAGGAGGAGGAGGACGAGGAGGAGGAGGAGCAGCAGCAGGATGAGGAGGATGAGGAGGGAGAAGGGAGGAGGAGGATGAGAACGAGGATGCGGACGAGGATGAGGACGAGGATGAGGATGAGAACGATGATGATCATGATCATGATCATGATGATGCTGATGATGATAATGATGGTGTTTGTGGTGATGGTCTTGATGATGATGACGATGCTTATGATACTGTTGCTGCTGCTGATGATGATGATGATGATGGTGGTGGTGGTGGTGCGGAGGAGGAGGAGGATGAGGAGCCAGGAATGACAATATGATGATGGTGACGATGGTCATGATGCAGATGCCCATGCCCATGCCAAGGCTGATGACGATGATGATGATGCTGATGATGATGATGTTGATGATGTTGATGATGATGATGATGATGATGAAGATGATGATGATGATGATGATGATGATGATGATGATGATGATGATGATGATGATGATGATGATGATGGTGATGGTGATGGTGATGGTGATGGTGATGGTGATGGTGATGGTGATGGTGATGGTGATGGTGATGGTGATGGTGATGGTGATGATGATGCTGATGCTGATGATGAGGATGATGAGCATACAACACTACATACACATATACATATAAAATGGGACCGATAGGCGGAGTGGCCACGACCACTACCACAACTGGAAGTTTCGGGGGGCTGGGCCAGCCAGCTCCTTGGGGGCCACAGTTCCGCTTCTGCAGCGTGAGACCGTCTTCGAGGCGGCTCAAGAGGGCCCCGTGTCGCCCCCAAGATGGCCTCCAGGAGACTCAGACGGCTAACGAGGCGTCTGGAACGGCACCAGAAGGCTACAAAGCCTTTTTCAGAATATTAACGTCCAGGGCCCTCAGAAACAACATCGGCCCAAGAGGCCCCCTGGACCGCCCCAAGACGGCCCAAGAAGCCCCCAAGAAGGCCCCAAGACTGCCCAAGAGGGTCCACAGACGGCCCAAGAGGCGCCCAATACGGCCCAAACCGGCCCCCGAAGGGCCCCAAGAGGGACCAAAGATGGGGAACTCCAGCTGGTATTTGGAGCCCTCCAACCTCAGAGTGTCCCCGAGGCCGTCGTCAGGCCTCCGAGAGGCCCCCAGGAGGCCCCCAAGAGGCCCCAAGAGGCCGCCAAGAGGGCCCCAAGAGGCCCCAAAGAGGCCCCAGGACAGACAGACAGGCGAGGAACGTTCAAGGATGGCCCACTGGTGGCTGGCGCGGCGGGCCTTCAGGCCCATATGAACAAGTCGTCACAGTGCGTGCTCAGCAGCTGCGTCCTCCCATTGCCGTTTGGGTCGCACAGTTGTCCATGTTATTCGGTATGGGTGCCATAGAAAAATTCCGTTGGGCCTACTTTTTTGTGCAATCCCGTAGTCTGCTCGACCATCGCACCACGGCCTGTTTGCGTGAGCCAACCCAACCACAAAGAGATAGTTTGCCCAGTTTCATTTCTGCCTCATGAGTCGTGTGTTTCATCAAGTCAGGCCAGGGCTCCAAGGCCTCTTCCACTATGTCGGGCACTTCCACATTTCCCACCGATCAATGAGAATTCAATTGTCCGGAAGGTGTCAGCATCTGCACATGTGTTCTGCGAAATGTGTCTTCCAAGTCCTTCGTAACAGCCCGCGATTCGCTCACATCACAAAAAAACGTCCAGGATACTGTACATCAAACAGATGGAGCCGCGCATTTAGCGTGTACCTGCGATCACTCAGAACGGGACGTTGTGGCACAAGCGTTTCCCAAGCTGGCCCAATCCTCTTGTCAATCTCGGTTCTGTGCGGGCGGTCGAAACGTACCTTCAGGCCCCAAGTATCTGACGTGGCCATCGTGAGATACAACACGGATACTGTGCTCCTTGGGGTGACCAGTTTCCCGGGTAGTGTTCGAAAGCATATCGTACCAACCAATGTGTTGTTTGTTGTTGCGCGGACGTCTGCAAGCATACCCTTGATCTGTTCAAGCGTAGTTCCGACAGCATGTGACATCACCAGCGAAGCGCAAGTTGGTGAGTCGCCACCAATGTGTCTCACCGGTTTAGGCACCACCGCTTCCCCTACCGAGTGTTCTTAAGCAAACGTTTCCCCATTACGGGGTTGAAGAAGTCTGCCTGCTTCGTGCCCCGCAGTACATGATACGGTATTCTCAATGTGTCAATATTTACTCCTAGCAGATGGTTAATGATACAGCAGCCGTAGCAATCTAATTTATCCATGCAACACGCCTTGATGGCTCATGCCTTGCAACATGTTCTCGTGATCTGCGCAGTCGACAGCCGCCTTGAAGCCAATGGTGGATATCCAGAGATGTGGTTGTCATTCGTAACAGTTCTAGTATAATGCTGTCACGTCGAAGGGATGATGCGTCGTGCCAACACTCACCCTGAATCCAGCCCGGTTTGCGTTTTGATGCTTGGTCAACGCGGGGTACAGCCCCAAGTGCAGGAGTTTCGCAAGCATCTCATGCATAAAGAAAAAGGGTGATTGTAGTTGGCGTGTAGTTCCCTGCTTTCGCGACGTCTCTTGACTTGTGCAGAACAGTGACGACGGAGTATTTCCATGCTTGTGCCTGCATGCCCTTGGGCGATGTTATATTGTTGTGCAGTTGCAACAGAAGTCGCTCAGCTGCTTCCGGTCCGTTGAGGGCGTTCTGGGCCGTCTTGGGGACATTTTGGTCGTCTACCACAAAGCTTCCACCACACAGCTCGCACCACGTAGGTTACATGACCTATATTGCACAGCGTAGCTCCACCTGCACGACATTGCTTTCACTACATAACTGTTTTCACAGAGTGCGCATCTCATAGCTTTCACCACATCGGTGGCAACACATCCATTCCCCTTTCGCACGAGAGGTAACGCTCATAGTTGCGCGCATCTCATGGTGTGCACCACATAGCTTGCAACATGTGCATGCTCCTGCAAAGGAGAGAGACTCTACCCCCCTCGCTCCCAGGGGGCCTCGATTTTTCTTCGGGCACTGCAATTGACATGTGCTTCAGCCCCGTCGGTCTTTGCCCATACGATATGAGGTCATCCCAGCCAGGCCGGTATCGCCCCCCGCCCCTCACGCTTATCAAACAATACCATTCGCGGAAACACGCGTATCCCAGGAAAGCATGTCCCACAAAGTCCAGACGCGCGCGAACATGTCAACATCATATCAAACACTTTCTTTTTGTACGATTTCCAACGTGAAAGAACGCACGTAGGGTTGACATCACAGGTCTTTCATGTTTCCTACCCGCGCGCCCTTGCTGACATCACGGGGAAACTATATGATTTCAGTAATGTCGTACAGAAGCCGCGGTCTCATTCCACCACGCCATGTATTTGTGTTGATGTAGGATACACCCAGTTCGCGACTTTTGATCAAATCGCACCATGCGGGAGACGCGCGCACTCCGCCACGCGTGCGTGTCAAAGTCCTTCAACACCAAGGATGTTCGGAACCTTTGAAGGTGGTAGTCTTCAAGCCAATATGCAAGCCGAATGTTTGTCAGTACAAGTCTACCAGCTCGCTGGGATTCCTGCGCCCGCGCGCGTCCTCACCATCACCCTCATCGGCGCCACCGCCGTTATCGTCATCGCCCATCGCCGTAACTTCCGCCATCATGAGTCAATCACATTCGTCACCGAAACATTGGCATCATGATCATCGTCATCGGCGTCCCCAGCATCGGCGCCGTCATTGGCCTTGCCGTTGTCATCGTCATCATCGCCACAACCCATCGACAGAGCGGTTTTTGCGGACGCTGAGAGGTGGGGGGGTCGAAACGGGGGGGGGCCCTTGAGATGCAAGGGGGAGGGAGGGTCGAGTGAGGGGAGGCCTCCCCTCATCATGGGGGGGAGGGGTCGAACCGTTGCTGACTGCGAGCGCGTCACTGGATGAGTCCCTTTTGCAGGGGCGCGCGTGCCGGGTAGACGAAGCAGGTGCAGATCGGTGCATCGCCGGCGCCAAACAGGCAAAGTGATCGTATAATTGATTGGTTATTTGACCTGTGTATGCGAAGCCATTCGTTGGCGTACGACGCGCATGCGGCATGCCGCGCGCGCGTTTGCTCAATGACGCGTTGGCGTCCGCGCGGGCGTCGCGTCACGTCGACGTGCGCGTTTTTCTTCGTGCGCGGTGCAATCTGTCCGCGCGGAAGACGCGCGCGCGCGTTCTAGCGTCTACGCGGCGGTGCGCGCCTCGCAAAGGATGTGTGCTTGCGTTCTGCGTTGTCCCCGAAACCCCGCCAAGCATCTGAGCGGGCTAGCGACAACCTCCCGCGCGCCATGCGAGCGCGCATGAGTAGATCGATGAAACGGTCTGCATACAATATTGCGCGGGATCGCGTTCCAGAAAATGATGAGCACCTTTCCCGGACATTGGTTCACATGGTCAGGTTTCACCGGTCGTGAGGTTTACGCGCGTGTTGTTCTATCCCAAAAGGGGGGGGGCTCCAGTTTCCCAAGGGCGCTCAATGTTTTTTTTTGGGGGGGGGGCTGCTTGGTTCCAACGTGACAAACTCTTTGCTTGTCCAGGCAAGCGCCCGCGAAACGCGCCCTCTTCCACCATCGTTACCGCTATCCTTTTTGCCGCCGCTGCCGACGCCATCATGATATCGCGGTCGCCCAAGCCACCGTCCCGCACTGAATCGCCCGCACGCCAGCGCAGCGTAGCCTTTTGAGACGCGATGGAAATTGCCCATCGGCACCCGCCGTCGCGGCCGCATCGGCTGCGCCAAAACAGTTGGTCGCTTTGCGCGCAAGCTTGCGCGCGACAGCGCGACCGCAGAGATGCGCCAGACAACGGCCAAGCAGATGCCGCACTCGCGGCCGCATGGTTCTGGCAAAACAAACTGCTGGCTTGCGGGTGGGATGTTTGCGCGGGCATTGGAGTTGTCAATTCATTCGGTGCGTTTGTCAGTTGCACTGCGTAATTTATCCCGCGTCGTTTGCACCACCTATTAGTTATCGTCACCGTGCCAAGACAATTATTGATGGGGTCATCGGTGGCAAACATATTCATGTTGTTTTGGTATTGCAAGCATGTCTGACCCACTGGGGGCGCAGGAAGGAGAACCAGCCTCGTGTCACAGTTGCCTCAGACTCCGAGCCATAGAGGTGAACGCATATTTTCGACAGCTCGAACCCTGATGTGCTATTCGATGTGTCTGCGCCGTCGGCTGTGTGGTGACTGTTGGATGTTATGGCTTGACATCGTGGGGACCCGCATCAAAAAACATATGCGCTTCGTCAAGGTACCTTGATTGTTTTGCTTCGCGCGCTGCGCCATGACTTCCCCCTCGAAGCTGAGCATCCATGGGGCCGCGGATTCTCTCCATGGGGCCGCGGATTCTCTCCCAGTTGCGTATAGCTCGCGTGGTTATTCAGGGTGCCTCGCGAGAGTTTCTTGCGGCCCCGTCCGAATTGCACGATGATCGTTGGAGGCTTTGGTGTGTTGTTGTTAGCGCACCCGCATCACAGGTGCACGTGCGTTTGCCAGCGAATTCCACAGGCGCGGCATCTCTTCGACGATCGGGGGGGCATTTTGCAACACGCGAGCGGGACAGCACCAGGGACAGAGCAGGGAAAAGGGAGAGGAACAGTATCTGGATCGGAAGTTGATACAGCCACGCCGATTCGCGAATTGCCGCGTTTTGCTTGTTGCAGTTGTGGCCACGCTTGTGGCGGGCTTGCGCTGGGCATGTTCTGATCCAGAGTCTGTTTTAGTCAAACCGACACGGGGGTGCTTGTCCAACCCCGAAGGATGGGAGAGCCAAGATCGGTGCGCTCGCGTTTCATCTGGCATCCGGCCCCTCCTTCTGGTTCCTTCCGATTCCCATCCCATTGTGTTTGATCCAGCTGCCCACGGCAAGTCCCGCCACCGTGCCCGGGTTGTGGGTTATAAGTTATAAGCCTAGCGGATGTTCGTTGGAATCTCTTGGGGGGCCCCTCCGGCGGCTTGTTGGAGGCAGTTTTAAGGCCTCTTGGGGGCCGTTTTGCAGCCTTTTTGAGGGTTTGTTGGCGGCTTCTTGGGGCCTTTTGGGGGCCTCTTGGGCGCGTCTTGGGGCCTCCGGAGGACTCCTTGGAGCGGAAGGCTCGGATTTTCCATTCGTGTTCTTTCCCTGGGGCTCCTTTTGGGACCCTCTTGGGGCCCTCTTGGGCCGTCTTGGGCGCACTCATAGGCCGCATTGGGGGCCTCAACGAGGCCTCTAGGGCCGTTTTGGGGTGGTGTTGGGTGTCTCTTGGGTCGCCTTGGGGCGTCGGAAAGCTGAAAAGGCGAGAACGCCACAATCCTTCAACAACGCAGCCAACAACAATGATGTGTGCTTTGGGGGGCCCTCTTGGGGGACCTCTTGGAGCGCCTTGGAAGGCTCTTGCGCAATCTTGAGGCCATCTTGGGCGTCTTCTAGCGATCGTTCGGCGACTCGGGGCCCTCTTGGGCCGTCTTGGGGGCCTCCGGGGCCGTCATGAAAGCCATGGAGAGCCCCAGGGAGGCGCGATGGCCGCCCAGGGTTTGGCCGGTGCGCGCGGAGAGGCGCGGCCGGGAGAGGGGGGGTTCTTTGGACGATTACAAAGGAGGAGGAGGAGGACGTGGGAAGGGGAAGGACGCGCACGGCCTGAAGGCGAATGGTCACGCCGTCTCGCCTCGCTGCCGTGCACAGGCGCGGCCCCAGGCGACGAGGAGACCCGACGCCGCGTGAGTGCAAGCACCTGGCACTCCGCACCGCGGGGTGCTGGACACCCGCACTCACCCCCAAGCCCTCGGGCCAGGCGGCACCCGATGAACGGGCCCCGCGGAGACCACCAGGGGCCCCACACCGCCAGGATCCGAGACGAATCCAGCAGCCCGACCAGGCTCGGCCCCACGAGGGCCCCTTGGGTCGGACGTACGCTCGCTCGCGGCACCGCTCAGCCCCGCGGCCGCGAGGAGCGACGCGACTTGGCCACGCACCGCTTCGTCGGTCGCCGCTGCGGCGACCTCCACCTCCACCTCACCCCCGCCTGCAGGTCGGTGAGACCGCGGAAGGGGCCCCTGGTGGCGCCGCACTGGCAGCTCTTCCACCCCTCTGGGAGTCGCCGCGTCCAGCCCGCTCGTCGCCGAGGCCTGGCCAGGGGGAGGAGGACGACAGGCCAACCTCGCCGAAGGGCTCTTCGGCACCCCAGAAGTTGAAACACTCGGTCCATGCCCGCCGAGCCCGACGCACATGTCGAGGTGGGAGGCCCGCGTGCCGCTGAGCCGCTCCTCGCCCCCGCATGCAGGTCGCTGAGACCGCGGCAGAGGCCCGAGGTGGCGCCGCACTGGCGGCCCTTCCACCCCTCTGGGATCCGCCACGTCCAGCCCGCTGTCCACCGAGGCCAGGCCAGGGGAAGGATGACGTCGAGCCGAACTCGCTGAATGGCTCCTCGGCGCCCCCGAGGTCGATCCATGAGTTGCGATTGCACCACCTCCAGTGCACTCGTCGAGGCGGGCCTGCCCCGCGCGCTGTTTATCTACCAGGGTGCAGGCTCCAGCAAAAACCTTGGCGACTGAGCCCAGCCCCACGCGCTGTTTACCACGTGGGTGCCCCTGGGGGTTGGGACTTGCGTTCTAGCCGCCGCCAGAGTCAGCAGCCCCTGCTCACCTGCGTCCTGGTGGGAGTCCCCCTGCTGGCGGTGCCCGATGCACACGCCGATAGCGCCGCTTGGCCCCGCAGCGGCGCAGCCGCGGCGGTCGGCCTCGAGGAACGACGCGGCCTGGCTTCGCACCGCCTCTTTAGTCGCCACTGCGGCGTCCCAAACATCCTCCTCGCCCCTGCCTGCCGGTCGGTGAGGCCGTGGCAGGGGCCCCTGGTGGCGCCACACCCCTCTGGGAGTCGCCGCGCCCAGCCCGCTCGTCACCGAGGCCTGGCCAGGGCGAGGATGACGCCGAGTCGACCTCACCGAAGGACTCCTCGGCACCCCTGAAGTTGATTCACTCGGTCCATGCCCGCCGAGCCCGACGCACATGTCAAGGTGGGAGGCCCGCGTGCCGCTGAGCCCCTCATCGGCCGCGCCGCCAGCGCCGCCCCAGCATGCATCGCCTTGTGCAACGCGAGCTTCTGGCCGACGGAGCTCCCGAGGTGGTGCCGGAAGCTCATCGCTCGGCTCCGACGACTTCGCTTCGGCGAGAGCCGCTTCGGGGCGGGGGCTTCGCGATTTCCCTTCGGAGCGCCCACAATGGCCCCCGCCCCTCGCGGATCGACCCTCGGCCCGACCGCCACCAGCGCCATGGGCTCCCCAAGCCTCTGGTCGAAATGCCAGTCCAGGGTGGGCCGACAGCAGGCCGCCCGCGCCGAAGGGCTCCGAGCAACGCCGCACGGCTCCGCAGCGGCGCAGCCGCGGCGGTAGGCCGCGAGGAGCGACGCGACCTTGCCTCGCACCGCCTCCTCGGTCGCCGCAGCGGCGCCCGCCGCTTCATCCTCGCCCCCGCCTGCAGGTCGGTGAGACCGCGGCAGGGGCCCCTGGTGGCGCCGCACTGGCGGCCCTTCCACCCCTCTGGGGGCCGCCGCGTCGAGCCCGCTCGTCGCGGAGGCCAGACCAGCCGCCTCCGCCACATCCGTGTCCGTAGCCTCATCAACTTGAACTGGCAAACAACCGCGATTCCATGCGGCAGCCTGGCTGGACATCAGTGCAGCAGCATCGCTGCCGCCCTCGACGAGGTCGTGCACCTCGACGGCCACTCTGCTGGACACCTTGGGCGCCAGCTTGTTCTCCAGCCTCGCCAGCGCCGCCATGCCCGTAGGCGCCGGCGGCTCGCAGCGCCTGGTGAAGCTGCCGGCTCGCGCCGCGCCAGTGGCCCCGCAGCGGAGGCACGCCGCCAGGGGCATCTCCCTCTCCAGCTGCGCGTCCACTTGCGGCCCGATCCCCACGAGCCGAGCGGCTGGCAGTCCTGGGCCTTCAGCACACCGTTCGCCTTCATCGCCTCCTCCAGGATGGGGCCTGGGCGCTCGCCTTGCCGACTCTGCCGCCTGCAGTGCGTGCGCCGCTGCTTCCCTGGAGCTCCGCGCAGGTCGCGCATGTTGCTGACGCCCTCCATCCTCGCTGCTCGGCCTTCACAGCACCCTGCGGCTTCGCCGTCCTGTGATACGTGTCACTGCCCTGGGCCCAGCTGCCCACGGCACTGCACCACGTCGCGATCCCGTCCACGAGGCTACGTTCGGCTTGCAGCTTAGCGCGATCCACAGCCGCAATCCTGCCTGCCTCCGCTGCTGACCTGGCCGCCGCGTCCGCGTGCTTGTTGCGCGGCCAGTCGCGGTAGGAAATCGCCCCATCACGCACCTGTCGCTGTGTCTGGTGTGCTCGCGCCCAACGTGCTCGCACGCCAGCCTCTCCAGCGCCTCCCAGGTCGTCGATGAGGCCCCAGGCCGCGCGCCACAGATGTGCCCGCGCGTGGCAGTAGCACGTGGTGCTTGCACGACCACCCTTCATGACCCCATTGCACACGTATTTGGAGTCCACGACTGCCCCAACGGGAGCCATCCACAACCGCATCAGCATGATAAAGGCCATGAGCTCCCCGCCGTTGATGTCCACGCACGGCTCGCGCAGCTGACCAGCGATCGACATGGGCACTCACCGCCATCGGGCTTCAGCCCCACCAGGCCCCAACCCACGGACGCGTAGCCGCCGAACTCAACCTCGAAGGTCGACCCGCCCAAGTGGGTGCCCCTTGGCGGCACGACCCCATCATGCTGTCCTCCCCAGCAGATGCTGCTGGAAGGCGTGGGTCTGGAGAGGCCCGACTGGGCTGGCCACGGGCACCTCTCCAGCAGCAGCGCCACCTCTTGCGTGTCCGATCTGGCTCTCAGGGAGGAAACCGCAGCCTGCGTTGTCAGCACCTCCTTCCAAGCGTCGCAGCCGCAATGTTTGTGCAGCAGCGTGCCCCTCGCCTCGCATAGGAGACACGCGTCCGAGGCCACCGCGCCTGCATCCGCCTTCCTCGCCTGCGGCCGCTGCGCGTGGGTGACCAGCGAAGCTGCGTAGCCCTTCTCCTTCGCGGTGGGCCTCGCCCTCCTGCTGACGCTCTGCCCTGGCTCTCTCCGCTCGCGCACGCCGTTGGCGACGCCCGACATCGCGGGCCGCGCTAGCGGCTCAAGGACCCCGCCGCTGGCTAGGTGCTCGCAGCCTGGCGAGGCGGCCACTTGCTGCCACTGCCACTGCTCAACGGCCTTCAGCAGCAGCTTCTTGACGACCCAGGGGGCTGTGTCGAAGGGCCTCAGGATCGACCCGTCGCGGCGCCCCCACCGCTCGTGGTCCATGGCGCGCCGGCCCACGCGCCTCAGCATCACCGCGACAGCCGACATCGGCCCTTGGACGCGCGCCCGCTTCGTGGCCCCGTCGTCGCACAGGCATGCGTCCATCATGCGAGACGGGGCCCGACCTTTCCATCGCGCTCGGAGCAGCATCATCACGGGTGCCAGCGTCGCGTGGATGACGGGCATTCGGGGGCGCGCGCGCGACCTACCCGCCGTGCTTGGGGCCGTCGCGCTGAAG